TAGACAAGGAGGCTTTCCCTGTTTCAGTGATTGTGGGTAAAGAAAAAAACGCGTAATTTTTTTGCTTAGTAACTTGCTTTGAATTTCTAAATTTCACTGCTAAATTATTCCCTGAATTCCAGTTCCCTCCTTAAAACTCTTCCCAGAGTTTGATATGCCTTTCTGGATGAAATGTTGTTAAAATCAGCAGCCTTTTCAAAAGATTCAGGAGCAAACACACAGAAAGCAGCTAGACAACCCCTGAGATAAAAATCTGCTCATGGTGTTGGCTGTGAATAATGAATGGTGGTTTCCATATTTCAGTGTCAGCCATCTGGGTGCCTGTGTGCCCAAGGCAAGTCACCAACTTCAATAGAGCACCCTCCCCACAAATTCGTAATCTCTTCCTTTATGTGTCAATCTTACAAAAAAACAAATACAATTTTACATGCTCCTTTATTTTCATGTGAGATCTTCCTATGGTATAAACTTTACATACACCCAGCAGGAAGACTTTGTGTAAGGGCCAGATGTCAGAGACAGTCAAGTGGGGAATACATACAGGGTTTTGTGCATTTTCACTGTGGATGTCTGTGGAAAGATTGTAGGGGAGAACCTCTTTAGCAGAAGTATAACAAGATGTTGTCTCCTACAAATTATTAGAAGTCATCTAGGTTTTTGGAATTTGGAAACCTTGAAAATACTTCTGCTGTAAACATTAAATTGACAGCTTAAAAAAAATTACAACCACAATATATTGGCAAAAAGAAGAAAGGCTTCCATTCTGCTTCCAAATGTTTTCTAGTATGAGAGCCAAAAACTGTGCGGCTCCTAACTAAAATAACTTCTAAACAAATATTGTGATTTATAAATGCAATATAGAAATGTATATATCTAAAAGTGTTATATCAGTACACGTGTAAGGGGAACCATGTCACCAGTGTTAGAAGACATCCTCACGTTGGCGAGAGGCACCTCATTCTCTACAGGCCAGATGGCACCCGTGGATTTTGGCAGATTTCACTGGGAGAAGACAATGCCAGGTTGACAACTTTTATATTCCTATGGGAAATACTGTTTTGTAAAGTTACCATTTGAGACAATATCCACCCCTGAGATCTTCCAAAAGAAGCTAACAAAGTATTTTGGGAAATAATAATTGACATGGGACAAAACACGACATGGGACTGAAAAAGCTTTTTAACTCTGTGTTTGCATATTAAGCACGTTAGAGAAAATTAACATTTGGGACAGAGATGGTGTTTCTGAATGTTTTTGTCCATCAGTGTAGCATTAAACCAAGTTCAGAAGAGATACTAAGCAGATGAGATGAAACCCACACAAGGCACAAAGTGACATATTCTTTATGGCTAAATGTAAACACTTAGGAAAATGACTATCACTGGACTATACCAGTTTTTAAACATGTTGCTAAGAGCCAGAGCACATTACTGTGTTTCAGCATTACAGTTTCAGAAACGGGACCAGTCCTTGTTTTCTAATAATGACAATAAAATTGTAATAATAGTAGTAACAATAGCAGCTAATATTCATTGAGTGATTACCATGCACCAGGCACTTCTCTAAGCACTCGATAAATCATCTCTGTCTGCACAGCACTCCACATTAGATAGGGTTTATTACTTTCCTCAACTTACAGATGAGGAATATGAGGCAGTAAAGTCTCAACAATGATCCAAAGAAGCCATCGACTGCTCACACAGACACAGAGGGGCTTGGGGTGACTGGTGCTTAACTCATCACCTGTGCTCAACTGGTAGTCGTATGCTTTAGGTACCATCAAATATCAAAATAATATGTTTATGAGTATTCTAGGTAGTTGATTTTCTCCCCAAAGCATTTTCTATCTCATGCCAGGTTTCAGGCAAGATCATGCTCACATTGAGAATAAAGGTCTCTAGCCAAGCTTGGCTTCTGCCCAATGGGATCAATAACCTGATGGGCTGGAGAGTCCTAAAAAACAAGCCTGTCGAGATATTAGACACTGCTCCTCAGATTAGGAAAATGTTAGGGTAAAACAGCCGGGGTACAGACAAAGCCACTGGCTCCTGATATGCATGCATATGTAACCCCAGTGTGAAAATACAACTCCAGAAATGTGGATTTGTTTTGGCAATGCTAGTTTTGAAAACCAATAGCACGTTTCCTGAGTTCTGATATGTGAATGAGGACAGTGGTTCTCTATTCCGACTGCACACCTGAGAATTCCCTGAGAGCTTTCACCAAAATACAGGCATTGTAGGTGGGGTGCGGTGGGGGGAGTAAATCAGAATCTCTGAGTGTGGAGACCTAGCATTTAGATTTTATAAAAAGCTCCCCAGGTGGCTGTAACATGCAGCCGGGATGGAGAACCCTTCATATGTGTAGTCTAGACAACTGAAACCCCTTGAGTATATGTGTTGGGTAAGACTAAGAAGTGGGACGCAGGTCTTGAAATCTCTAAGAAGTCAACAGCCAAATTGGCACACAACATGTCAGAGAAAGCAAGAACTGTATTTGGTAAGACCACCTATCTGATGGGATTCTGTGTCTCCTAACTTAGGCATCCAAGATAGTTATTCTGAAGAAATCTAGACAGTCGTCAACATGGGAAGCCTACCAAGAACATGACAAAATATTCATAGAAAATTGAGGATTCATGTGGTGACACAATATTATTTAAAATTCAGGAGGACACTGTGATCTCTTCAGTAGGTCTCAAGAACAAGTTGTACCAGAAAGAGAGGGAGAGAGAGGACACCACCTATGAGCATCAATATGCTGGACTTGTGGGAAGATGGGTGCAGATTTATGTCAGGCTTCTACAGAACACAAAACATTTCCTGGTAGCAGTCAGTGATTTGCTGATAATTTTAAGTTCCGATGGTCTCCACCATCCTCCAGCCCTACTGTTGGGCTCACGACTACATTGGGGGTTTAGATATCTAGGCTTCTTGAGGGCTCCAGAGCACTTGGATGGTCTGTTTCAGGCGTCTTCACAAGATTTTGCTGCCTCCAGTTTTCATAAAAAGTAATCGTTCACAGTTTGCTATTCTCAGAGAATTTCTGAAGGCATCTGAGCTCAAACACAAACTTATCTTTAAAAAGGGAAGTTAACACAGAGAAGCAAGGGAGGTTAACAAAAGAACCAGTAGACTTTTCCATCTCCAACCAATTCAAGGCCAGAATGCTGGTGCAGAACGGAAGTCAAGTTCCTCCCTTTCTGTCCTCTTGATGGAAATGCCAGTTCTGAATGGTCCTCCCATTCAGACCATTCTGAATGGACCTACAGGTAGGAAGATCATCTGCCTTGTGGTCAGTGTTCCAGCAGATCTCCCCACTCTTGGATAATCGTGAAATGAGAGACCCAGACACACTGGCGTCTCCCAGCTAGAATCAGATTTCTCTAGAGCTTACCCAGAGAACAAGAAAAAAGGAGATTATTAGGAGAAAAGGGAAACAATATACTCTCTTTCCCAGGAGCCATGACAAGCAACAAACAAACCTGAGGCAGAAACAAGAGTTCTCCAAAATGTACAAAGTGGATGCACATCTGGAGGAAGATGCTCATTCTCTGACAGAACTGGCATTTCCCAGAGCTCATTCAGAGTGGAAACTTCTCACAAGGTTAAATGTGGACAGGGTCACTGGTCTGGTTTAATTCTGGTTCTATTCTTCTTAAGAATGCAAGCGGATGCGTGGACCTAGCACGAGTGACAGTCCCACAAAGTTGTTCAAGCCTCTGACTACTCTCGTGCTGCGTCTGTGCATTTTTCCTCGAACTTCAAACGATTCCCTGGGTTTGGGTAAGCTCAAGGGCACACCATGTGGACAGGATGTCAGGAGGTGTGCATTCTGTGTCTGCAGAATGACAAGACCCAGCAGAGCTGCGGGTCTGCGGGAGCGAGCAGCGGTGGAAGTCGCAAAGCAGGGGCGAACAAATGCGTCAAGTCCACGGGGCTGGAGAGGCCCGGCCTCTCCCTGCGCGCCGGCGCCGCGGGTGGGGGCTCGCTCCTCGCGCCCGTGCACTGAGCCCGCCTAGCGAGCCGCGCAGGGGCGGGGTCCCCACGCCGCCCCGGAGCCGCCGTCCCATTGGCCCGGAGGCACGCCCGTCCCTGAGTGAGGCTTCGAAAGTTTCATTGAAGGTGGAGAAGTGCGCGCCCGCCCGCGAGCCGGGGCTGCGCCGCAGGGGTGAGGCTGCACCGCGGCGGGCCGGGGGCGCGCTGGCATCTGGACGGCGTTTGGTTTTCATTTTAGTTTTTTGAACTGAGGCCGTGGAGGAGGGAGTTGGAGCCTGACGCACTGGTTGTGCGCTTTCCTGTCGATTTCTGCCCACGCTCGCAGGATTCCATCTAGTGAGGGAGGGACTCGAAGCGCAACTCGCGGACCGAGAGCGCGAGCCCCGGGCTGTGGGGGATGGTTCTGCGCGCCTGGCCGCTCCCGCCCGGGTCCCTCCGGCCCGAAGCCGGGGGCTGCAGAGGCTGAGCTGCGCCGCCGCTCGGGAATCCGCCGCGGGGCCGCTCGGGGCGCGCGGGCAGCTCCGAAAGCCCGGGCCGAGGGCGGCGCGCGGCAGCCCGCGTGGGCAGAGGGCCGGGGCGGGCAGCCGAGGCACCTTGGCTTCAGAGGGGGTTCCGCGGAGGAAGCGGCGCCGGCGCCCCGGAACGAGGCCCCAGGAGCCAGGCGAGAGGACAGCACGCCCTTCTCGCCCCCATTCCTCGCCGCCGCGCCGCAGGACCCTGCCAAAGTGCCCCCCTCCACGGCTCCGGCCCTTGCCATCCTCGGAAGAAGCCGCCGGCACCGGATTGGGGATTCTCCACTGTATGGGCCGGCCGTGGGGGCTCGGGCTCCTGTTGAGGGGACTACCGAGAGCCTGGTGAGGGGCTGCGGAGAGCGGGGTGAGCGCGCTCTCGGGGGGGAAAGTGCGGCGGCCCTTGCCGGGGCGATGCCCGGGCGGCTGCGAGCCGCGGGCCGCAGGAGGTCCTAGGCGAGCATGGACCTGGCGCCCCCTCCCTAAAGACCCTCGAGCCTAGCCCTTCTGCTCGGACTCCACAGACCGACGCGATGGCTTCGGAAGTGGTGTGCGGGCTCATCTTCAGGCTGCTGCTCCCCATCTGCCTGGCAGTAGGTGAGTGTGGTCCGCTCGCCTAGGTTACTTGGGAAGGGTGAAGAGGGCTCCTGGCGGGGGGACCCCCCCAAGCAAACCAAAGTTAGCGGCTCTGGTGCTCCGGGACTCGGTTCGGGAAGCCCGTGCCGCGGTCCAGGTGCCAGCGGCGTCGGACGCGCGCTGTCCCAAGTGCCACAGCCTGGCACTCTCACTTCCCTCTCTGGGGTTCACCATCGGGGTCTCTCTTAACCGTCCAGCTGCAGAGACCGGGTGACTGGGATCGGCATGTGCTGGAGACTGTGATGAATTTAGTCACACGTGGATTTTCTGTCGTGGAGTATGGACTTTTGCACAATGGATGCAAATCTGGCTGGAAGGCGGTTGTAGACCCCTTTCCTAGGTACAGAGCAGGATCATACTAGAGCCTGCTCCTCCCTTGTCCCCAGACGCACAGCGCAGGGTGCATCCGGAAGGTACCGAAGCCATCTCTCCCCCACCCCATATCTCAGCAAGTGTGATGGAAGAAGTGAAGGGCTCCAGTGGCTCTAAAAAGAAGAGGCAGAGGGTACAGGGAAACAGTGCCCTCAAGTTTCTTTCTCTTTTACCTTCACAAAAACCCCTGCGACAAAAGTGCTAGATGCTGAGGCTCTAGACCACCAAGACGACCCCCGCCCTCCAGACGCCGCCCTTCCAGACCTTTAAAGGGCTGGAGAGCCTGACTGGGGCTCCCTGGGACTGGCGAGAGTTAAGGAAGGGCCAGAAGGGAGCCTCATGACTCCTGGTCCAGGATCTCACTATTTCTGCAGGGCTCGCAGGGCCGTAGAAGCAACTGCGTGTCAGATCTGAAGGCACTGGCAGCGCGCTTGGAGGGAGAGAATTTCTGAGTTTCTGCTCAAATAGGTGCAGTAGCACACTTTTTACCAAGTAGCACTGTATTTACAAAGAGAGCGTGGCCTTCGCAGAAGAGGCCACCTTTTTGCATTTTGCCTGAGGTTGAGGACTCAGCATCACACTTAAACTAAATGTTGTGTCGGTGCAGGTAGTGGAAAGAGGGGCTCTAGCCTGTGTCCTGAGGGTGGAACTCGGCTACCGGGAGGATTTTGTAGTCAGCATGAACACGCAAGAAACTTCGGCGGAAAACCCGAGAAGGCTCTCAGAGTGGAAACGGTCTGTGCGTCGCAGGGTCCTGGGGCGACAGGAGGGGCCAGCGCGAGCATGCTGGCCTTGGCCTCTACTTCACTGTTTGAGTTTTGAGGAAGGACCATTCTTGCAGGGATCTTTGTCCTTAGTAATCACTCAGGTAGACGAGGAGCACAGCTTCCACGAAGCTGATGTGGATCTCTCTCTCCTCTAGTTTAAGTGTGAAAAGAGAAAAAAGGCTTTGGGAAAGCGATTTGGGGAAAACAGCGCCGGGCTACTTCTGGTGCGTTACGCTTAGGTCGTGTCACGATCTAGGGACCGTCTCTGTATCTGAAGCGCCTGGCACCGTGCCTGGCACATTTGGTATTTGCCAAATGGAAGCTAGTGCTTGGTTAAAAAGAGGCTTTCATTGTGAGGGCCTATTTGTGGTTGTCAGTGTTGATCGGGGAGGAAGCCTGGGACTGGCGCTGGGTCAGGAGGCGTTATTTTCTCTGCCGCAACCCCTGCATCGCCCCACATCGTCTTTCCCCACAGTCATTTTCTCGCCCCACCTCCATCTCGCTTTTTCCCCTCTCTCCCCTCTCCGCGGGGTAGCAGCTTGCGGTGACTGTCGGAAGAATTAGGCAGGTGATTACCTGGGCCAGCTCAGTCCACTCTGTGACTTGCACAGCTAATTGAGCGACATGCTGCTTGCCAGAGACCTCGCCCTGGGCTTCCCCTCTTGCGAGGGAAACCCAAGCCCACCTGCCCCGATGCTCCGCGGCCGCTCGGGTTGGGGCCGTGTCATTCCGACTGATTAGGGTTGCTGGTCTACGCCGTCTAGCCCTTCAGTGGAGCTGTGGAGCTCTGCCCTCCAGAGGGGCGGGATGGGGCGCCCGGGGCGCGCGGCGCGAGCTGGCAGCTCCAGAGCGGCCCGGAGGCTCCCAGGGGCGCAGGGCGGAGCAGGGACCACTCTCCCGCGAATGGGGTCCCCACACGGCCTAGCCCCTCTCCCCCCGCCTCCTGGCTTCTTACTCGGAGCCCCGCGGGCCCCGCGCAATGTTCGCTGCCCGCAGGCTGGGGCCCAAGGGTAGGCTCGTTCGGGGCCCAGGAGGCGCCTGTCCGCGCCGCGGCCCCGGCCTTCCTGGAAGCAGAGCTGCTTCCAGGGACTCAAAGATGACAGCCCCCGCTCTCCCGCCCGCCCGCCCGCCGTCCTGCTTCCTGGATCCGGGGACAGCCCGAGTTGGCCTAGACAATCCTCGGCTGCCCTCCCTTTCCAGCTCATTCGCTTGGATTCGCACGGATTCGCACAAGTCTTCTGGGCGCAGGGAGGCCAACCTGGGTGTGTGAGAGTGTGTGTGTGCGCGTGTGTGTACACGGGGTGGGGTGGTATTGTCTGTGATCTCCAGGCCAGGGGGCGGTAGAGGCCCCCAGTTGGGTGTAGAGCCTGTTGCTTTGCCCACCCTTGTGGAAAGCTGACCTAGGGGCAGGAGAAGTGCGTGGCCTTGGACCTTCCCCCTGCGTGGAAGAGAGCAAGAGTTCCTGGGAAGACCAGAGGACTGACCCCTTAACTGACCTCCTCACTTGTGGGCTGCTGCTTAGGAAAGACAACCCGCTTCCAAGGATTACTGATGCCTTCTAATCATTGTAGTTGTAGGGACAAGAGGGAGCTGGGTTGGTGTCCCCTGATTTGAGCATTCAATTCTGTTCTACAGGAAGTGGATATTTTCAAGGTTATTGGAGGGTTTTCGGGTCCACCTACTCCCAAGGTGCTACTAAGTCAGATATTCAGGTTTCTCTCACATCCTGGGCATGGAGAGTCAATGATCTGTTTGCCATTAGAATCGATTTTTACATTTTAGCCATCTATTTTTATACCTGTGCAAGGCAGCCTTCAAAGCCAAGTCTTTGTGGAAGCTTATGTGTTCTCTTTAACCGTTTCTTTAACAGTGATGTTCAAATTGTTCTGCACAGAGATGCCCTAGCCTTTTCACCTAATGATGGGTGTTAAAAAGTAACTGCCATTGTGTTTAATGTTAAAAAGTAACTGCCATTGTGTTTAATATGATGCTTAAGGTTTTTCTTTTTCCCTGTAAGAGAAGTTTACAGAGAAGTGATAAGTGAAATCAGGCCTCTTTTATGCAGGTGTTCTGTGGCTCTTGAGTGTTAAAACAAAAACAAAAACAAAATGTAATGTAATATATTGTTTGCCATCCAAAATGAACATCCGGTGACAGATATTCCCGCATCAATAGAAACCGAAAATTTTAAAGATCTCCAAGAAGGCCAGTTAGCTTGCTTGGTTAGAGCGTGGTGCTAATAAAGATCTCCAAAATTATCCTTGACTACTTGGGTAGTCGTTCTGATTTTTTCTTGCAAATAGTGCATGAAAAAAAAGACAAAACTTTCTGTAATAATAATCAATAATATCTGATAATTGTTGAGCACTTTAGAAATATTTTTACATTTATTTTCTTTTAGCATGATTCTACTATATATAATATAGTACTTGTATATGATTGAAGTTTATGATTTGAGTTTATTCCTGGGTCAGGAATAGATTGGTGTATTTTTATTCACATGCCCCTGACCTATTCATTCCATCTTGCCTAGTGTTGCTTGCAGTTCTAGAAGAGCTGACTTTCCCATTTTCAGGAGGAGGGGAGGGAGCTGGCATGGACAGACTGACTGGTGAAGGAGGGCAGAGCTGTGGTGGCATCTATAGTTTTTGTGCTTCCCCTAAATAAAAAGGGCCTGGAGGTTAGGAGAGAACAGAGCTGGTCAGGAGGCTGTGTAGCACACAGAAAGAATCAACCAACCAACTAACGCTCTGAGGAAAAAATGACACTTGGGTGATAGTGCAAATCCAAGAAGAACCTCTAAAATTCCCTTTAGAGATAGTTGGCTTAAAGTCTGAGCAAAAACATGGAGTCACTTTTGAAATGTGTGAGGAGTATGGCTATCTGAACATTATTTTCTCTCTGTTGCATAATATACTTTTCCCTGTGTAGCATGTCATTTTGAAATCACACTTATACACACCCCAAGAATTACAGATGAAGCCTAATCAGAGTTGAGAGGCTCTCAGTGGTAGGAGGTTTCAGCTGCTGAAGAAGGCGTTGACAGCAAAGTCACTTTCTTTTCTGTCACACTTTCTCAGCTTTGTATAGTAGATCATATTTATCACTTTCAGAAAGGAAAAATGTAACAATGAAAAGCATTAGAAATTTAGAATTTAATTCTCAAATAAAATGGTCTCTAAACACAGATGGGCTTGATCGCTTTGTCACCTGGGCTGTGGAAGCTAGGGCTGGGGCGCACCCGTGGTGGTCAGGGGCCGGGTCGCTCTACAGAAGCCCTGTGCTTGCTCAGGGGAAAGATGAGCAGATGCTGTGGATTCACCTTTGGGGGAGGAGGCTGTTGTGACTTGGTGGTTTAAGAGACCTCCACTCACGTCCTGGCTCTGCCTGTTGCTATGTGATCCTAGAGGTTTTTTTTTTCTTTTGGTTGTTTCTCTTTTCTGTCTGTAAAATGGAGCTAGTAATACGTCCTTTTTTGAATAGCCGTGAAATACTGTGCACTACACACCGTGTACCATGCCTGACACAGTGCAGGTGCTCAGAAAGGGAGGTATTGTTACTGCATTTATGAACATGAGTAAAAGAGCAGAGATGTTTGAGGAATGTCTTAGAAATTAGCAGACTAACAGGTGGTAACATGAGTCATGGGGAGACTGAGAGGGGTACGTGGGATGCATATGAAAGCAACGTAGTACCTTCCTGGGGCCAAATTATGCAACTGAAATTTGGTGTGTGTGTGTGGCAGGATAATATTTAATTATCAGGATTTTTCTCACCAGTTTTACTCAACATTCTCTATATCTGCTCTTACATTCCAGTTAA